ATTACTTCAACAGACACATGTAAATAAGTTGTAAATCCCAGTGAAACAGAAAATTAATGATTAATTCCAGACCACTATGCCAGCAGATAAACATGCTGTGAGCATTTTTATTCTTGAGTTATTTAATCACAGTACAATTACTCCAGATGTACTTCATGAATTATGAAAAAGAGTTCTTTATTAAATGACTAATAATTTCACATTAGAATGCTAATCTACTCCTCAAGCTTGTTAGAAATGCCACTTTATAAAGAAACATTTTTTATTCGGCAATTCATTACGAAATTATTGTTATTTTTATATCCAAATTCTAGTCCAAGATTAGACTCCAATTCAATATTAACTCTCTACATTTTAATATGATGCCATAGTCATGTTTTAATTAGAATAAAAAGGATACAGTCACAGTTTGAAACCTCATAATCTGTCCTTTCTTTTCAAAGTCTAATTAACAAATTTACAGTTATGGGTGTAATATAAATACAGTGTTGTTAATTACAAAATATTATATCAAATACATTGAATTATATCAAAATACGTGTCACGTAGATATGTGCATGTGTGTATAATATTTTTATTTTATTAATTTTTATATGCTTTATGGTACGAAAACATGAATAAAAGAAAGTACAGTCTCTGCTTTGAAGAGTTTACAGTCTTGATATAAAATACAATGAATATATATTTATTTTGTATTACATTATTATATACTATGTATTAGACTCTAATCCCGCAACAATTTACATGAGTAAAGTTAAGCATGTGCATAATCTTTGCAAGATAAAGGCCTTACATGTAATGATATATTATAACATTTTCATGGTATTTTTTTTGTTTTGTTTTAAAAAATCTGTTTTACACATCAGCCTACATAAGCTTCCTATAATATAAAAGTAGCATGCGTTCTGTAGAGGAAACATTTCATTTTGAAATCCAGTGGTTAGTCTATATTAAAATTATTTTCTGAAAAATACTTTGGCAGGATTATAAAATTTTAAAAATAGCCCTTTTATATATGTTATAGTGCTTAATAACTAATCTTATGTTTAATTTGGTGTTTAGTTGTCTGATTTCCCCAGCTGATGATTCACTGTAAGCAAGTATATTTTCTGTATTACAGGTGCTCTTGTGCAGATGGATTTGAAGGTGAAAACTGTGAAGTGAATGTTGATGACTGTGAAGACAATGACTGTGAAAATAATTCTACGTGTGTAGATGGAATTAACAACTACACTTGCCTTTGTCCACCTGAATACACTGGTAAGAACATAAGAGAAAACACTGGCAGTCTAATGCTAATTGTAGATGAGTAGTATTGTGCTTGAAAGTTTGTGGCTGACCCCTGGCTCCACTGAAGTCAATAGCAGTTTTGCCATTGACTGCTGTGGGGTCAGGATTTGACCCTGTGCCTTTTTAATTTGATTTAGTTGTTTAATTACAGGAAAAAACCTCACACACTACCAACACAGCATGCCAACCAATACTATGTTGATGTGCATTCACTGTTTTGGTTTTTTGTTGGGTTTTCTTGGTTTTTTTTTTTTTTTTTTTTTTTTGTAATTAACCACACTTTGAAATGTAAAATCATGAAAATTTTGTTTTAATTTAAATTATAAAATTGTCTTCACCGGCTAAGCCCAGTGGAGAACAGTCTTTCTTCTAGGAAAGACTTAAAAATTAGGAGCTGTGCAGCTCTAAAGACCAACTCTTATGGTTTCCTTCGTCTACATCTGCAAAATATTAACGGAGCAGAGAGCTTACACTCTGTCACAACAGTGGTTGTGGCAAGAGCTCCCTCTACATTTAAGCATAGTGATAACAAGGAAATGTAATGTTTCCCTCCATTCTCAGTCCCAGTGCGCGCACACACGCTCCCCAGCAATTATATCTTTTTGTTGTTCGCCTCTTGATGTCAGTTAAAGGCCAGGCATAAACCATTCCTATTTCATATAAAGGGCAGTTTTTCAAGTTTTATTGCTGTTGTCACTCTTACAGACTCTGTGGCTTCAGATAGACAGTGGGAATGGAAGATACTGAAAATAAAAAAAAATAGCAAATGGGAACCAGGATATTTGATATATTGAAATGCATTCTCTGTGTGTCAGTAAATTGCTAGGTGCATGTAGGGGATAAAATCATAAATCGTAATAAAAAATACAACCTATTGAAAGAATTGCTGTGACTCCAGAATAAAGTCTACTCAATCATTGGGTCCCATAATCCCAATTGGTATTCCTTCCCCTAAGAAAAAACAGAAGAAAACAGGTGAGTCTTGCAGTATGGTATAAAAAGCACTAAATCTGGTCTCTGGTAGATGGCCTCCATTCTTCTGTTTAAACCAGGGCAATATTCACTTGAATGCCACACCCCAGATGCCCACACTTTTAAGCTTTAAAACTTAAAGCCTAAACCTGAAGCTTGGAAATCAAATGGCAATGAGTATAGGTCATAGAGCTTTGGTGTAATGTGTTTTTTACAAGCAATACCATTCACAAGTCAGATAACTGCATTCTTATACCGTCTGCAATTTCCAAATGATTTGGTGGTGTGGCTCAACAGCAAAGTTATGAATAAGTGGGGTGAGATCCACATCTTAAAAAAAAAAGGACATAATGTTATGTAAAGTACAAATGACTCTTGCCATTTGCTCCTATCAGTATATCGAGGAGCAACTGTTGAATCAAGAGAACCCCTTACTATAAGTCTTAAAACAAGCTGTAGCCAAATAATAGCTCCAGTAAGGGCACATATATAATGCTTAGCATTTTTCCTATCATCCTAATATCAGTCTTAGGTGGGTCTCAGCCAGCCAGCTAGCTAGCTGTCACCCATTTCACACCATTAGCCTCTAGATAAGTGATTCCACATGCAGATTGAAAGAGGTGGGAAATGTAGAGCTAGGTGTCATTAACAAAATATTTTCTGCATTAGCTTTTTTGAGGTGTGTTTTTTTATATCCCGGGAAAAAAATAAGACATCTTATGCATGAGCTTTTATTCCTAGTTATTTTGTGGCATGTTACCAGTATTCTGGTTTGTTTTTGTTTTGTGCCCTTTGTCTCAGTTTTTGCTTTAGAATTAATTTATGTAGTAACATAAAATTATTAAATATATTTTATAGAATGTCTGTCCCACTTTGCTTTTTAAGTGTGTTTAGGAAAATGTAACACAGATTGGAAAGGTAAAAAATTTGGTAATGTGTTTTTATTTTAATTTTCTGTTGCAGCTGTTTGTTTTTAGTGTGGTGGCAAAACAGTACTGTAACTTTAAAAACAAAAAAGGTGACTTATCCCTGGGGAAATGTCAGGTAATTACATTTCTGTGGAGGGTAGAATTCTGTCCTTGGACAGAACGACTCTAAGAAAAAAAACTTCATCCTGGTTTCTCTAAATCAAAACTTTGATTTTGATTTTGTTACTTTCAGACTAGTTTAAAGGGGGGGGAATAATTTAAACTCTTAAAAACAATGAATTCTGTTTTCAAAGATGTACTGTGTATTCACAATTTCTGTTTAAGTCAATGTAATCAGAGGCAGCAGTACGTTCTCAACATCTCTGAGGATATGGCCAAAGTGTAATATTTAATGATTATAGCCAATACATTAAAATACTTAAGTACCTCTCAGGCTTTCTTCATCCTGCCCTGCTCTCCTCCTGCCAAATACTTTTTTAAATAGAAGTGGCCAGATTCTTAACTCCCTGACTTTTATATAATCTATACACACTGTAAAATCAGTTACTGTGATTTCATCCAGTGTACAATAGCTTTACATCCTGCCTAACTCACTCTGCAGTCTGAAATAAAGACTATTGTGTTACAATTATAATTTTCTACAGTTAACAAACCATGTCAAGATCTGAGATTGGAAAAAGTGGTTTATACTCTATATGCTACTATGTTACCATTGGTTAAAGGTCACAAGTTGTTTTTATGATTTTTTTTGTCTGCCTGATTCAAAGGCAAGTAACTAAATCTCAGTCTGTGTAACTCAAGCTGCATGAAGAACTTTGTAAAATTCATGTACTGCAATCTTTGCATACGGCAACCTATTGTCTCCCACAGCTCTGGATATCCGGACTGCTCTCCCCTTTGCAGCTTCACAGAGGCAAATCAGTGTTTTGACATTGCAATCTCTGGTCATGTCCCCCTGGCTTCAGTTTGCCATTGTATTCTCCAGGGGCAGATGACTGTTTTGTGGGGCCCCGGGCAGCGTAACTCCGCGGGGCCCCCCCTTTTCCACGGCGCATGCACCGTGACGCGATGCGCATGCGCGGTGGCGCCACAGAGAATGCGCGGGGCTTTTTTAAGTGCGGGGCCTGAGGCAGCCGCCCCGTTCGCCCTGCCCTATATCCACCCCCGGTATTCTCCATAGCAGTAGAGTGGCAGTTTTTGTTGCTCGCACCTTCATTCTTCTGTTTATAGCTTTGTCTGCCTACTTTTATGGGCTTCTTTCCAAATTTCTCTTGTTCCCTTGGTTGATTAACCCCTCACGGATTTAACCTTCCCTGATTCGCCACTTCGGTGTCTCCCTGCTGGCTCCTTTGCCCCTGTACAGGCAAGGCAGAACAACCAGGAAAACACCGGTCAGACTGAAGCAGTGCACTGTTTTTGAGGCTGCTTTTCCAGGTGTAGCAGATGATGAGTTATACCCAGTCTACACCCAGACAACCGTCTCTAACTATTTAGTCATGGAACTACCAGACAGACAGACAGATGGGGTCCCTACCACACAAGATAGGCATGACTCAGCAGGACAAGGTTCCAGAAGTCATGAGGAGCTTGAGAATTCAACTTCAGGGTATGTCCCAGAGAATCCTTTCAGAAAGAAGTGTGGAGACTAGTAGGGCCCTAAGTTCTCCCTTCCTCCAGTCTGAAAGTAAGTTCTGTATGCCCTGGGGAAAGAAGCAAGGTATCTAATCAGCCTCTCTCCTCTCAAACTAACCAGTCTCCTCCTTCCTACTGGGGGAATGAAACGCAGCAGAGAAGGATTCCGATTCAAGCCTCTTGTGAGGGCTTCAGGCCTTAAGGACGACAAACTAAAAAAAAAAAAGGGCTTCACCAAACCACAGGAGAGCTATTACACTCCTGATCAAGCTAAACAAGTTTAAAAAATACAAACAAGCAACAAGGAAAGGAAAAATCTCACACGCACACACACACACACACACAGAGAGAGAGAGAGAGAGAAGTCATCTATCGTCTTTCCCTTCTCATCCTCCGTCCCTTCCTCCAAATCCAAACAGGAACAGAGAGGGGGAGGGGTTTGGCTTTTTTTTAACCCAGAGAAAATTAAAGCATCAAGGCCAGTCCATAATTCAAATTAAACCTGAGCAGTCTCCTCAGATTAAACCTTAGAGTATATCTACACTACACAGCTTTTAGCAATAAGGCTATGTCAATGCAGTCCTGGCACTAAAAGTTGGCACATGTGAATGCTTTCTGTTGGCATTTTTACCAACAAAATACTTCCACCTGGAAGGAGCAGGTTTCATTTGCCTACAAAGCAGCATTCACACATGCATTTTCCATGGTAAAATCTTGTCATTTGCAGGGAGGAAATCAGATTTAAGGATTTGTGAATGACAGAAGTTTTGTTGAGCTAGTGCAAGTGTGGACATAGCTTAGAGTAAATTTCTTGTTTCAAAATCCTTCCCTGAGGCAACAATACTGCTTCGTTCTTCCTTCAGGGAAGTGGTTAGGGATGAATGGAACAAGCTTGATAAGAACAAGACATTAACGAAAGCAACCTCAGGCTATAACATTCAAGAACCTAAGGGCTTTATTGATGACTTTGTAGCTTCCTTCCCTTGAGGTGATTAGCTCATCTGAAAGAGTTTTCCCCACGGATCCCATGGATAGAAAGACAGAGGGCACTCTCAAAAATGACGTTGAAGCCCTCTGTGCTTCCTTCTGAGCATCTTTTTAGCTACCTGCTTTGCAAGAGCATCTCTTTCCTGATGGGAAGATCTCAAAGCCCTTATGGACAAAGAGTGAATGCAGTGAGCTTCTCAGCCTGAGCCAAGCCTTCTAGCTCAGAGCCAAATACCCCCTGTGTCTCCATCTCTGGACTGTGGATACTCAAAATATTTCACAAGGAAGGCAGACAATTGAGGCATGGGGACAAATGCCCTTTTCCATAGTTGGCTGCAGGGCCTACTGTGTGCATTGCCACCCTTCCCACTACTGTGGAAGATGGGCCAGAAAATAAAATGAGAACCTGTGACAGTAAATCTTCTAATTGCTCAATGGCTAAAGAGACCTTGATTCTCAGATCTCAGTTAACTGAAAGTGGAACCCCCACACCAGCTTCAGCGGAAAGCGGGCCTCTTCTGACAAGGCCCTGTTCTTCATGTGGACTCAAAATGGCTTCAACTAACAGCAAAGCTACTGAGAGGAAAGCACTGGAAGTTTCTTCTTGTTCTCCAGAGTCATTAAGACATTGCTTTAGTCTGGAAGGCTATAAACACACTCCTCTATCTGGTCCGTATTCTACCAGTGCACAGTTCACTGCATATCCTGGAAGTCCTGGAATTCTAACCACTCTGTACTTCTCTAGAAAGGCATAGAAAGAGGCCTTCAGCCCAATACCATTGGGCATCAGGTATCCACTCTTAGTACAGTAGACTTCCGATAATCTGGCACCCTGGGACCCAGGTGGTGCCGGATTATCTGAAATGCCGGACTATCAGGAGGTACTCTGGCAGGGGCGGGTCTCTTCGGAGGAGAAGCGGGGGAGGGGGCGGGGGTGTGCCAAAGCAGCCGCATTCAGGACGTTCTAATCAGTTACACTTACTCCAGCTGGATCCACAGCCGACAGGCTGTTAATCTACCTTTTCTCTCTACTGCATGGAGGAGAGAGGGCAGGGGAAGGTAGGGGTCGGCGGGGGAGGGGGCGGGGGTGTGCCAAACCCTCCCTTCTGCTGCAGGGAGGCAAAGCCTGCAAGCGGCAGAACCAGAGAGGGAGGGAGAGAAAGGCAGCTGTTTCAAGAAGTTCTAATCAATTACACTGCCCTGGCAACGGGCTCGCAATCTACCTTTCCTCTCTACTGCCTAACGGGGAGGGAGGCGGTGGGAACGGGTAGATCCGTAGGTGACAGGCTGCTGCTGAAACTCACAAGGGATGTAGAGGGGAAAGGTAGATTGAGAGCCTGTTGATCCAGCAGCGGCAGTGTAATTGACTAGAACTTCTTGAAGCAGCTGCCTACCTCTCTCCTCCTCTCTGCTTCCGTGCCTCCCTGCAGCAGGAGGGAGGGTTTGGCACACGGCCACCCCCTCCCCCGCCGACCTCTACCTTCCCCTGCCCCCCCTCCTCCAGGCAGTAGAGAGGAAAGGTAGATTAACAGCCTGTCGGCTGTGGATCCAGCCGCAGTTAATCAATTACACTAACAACTTGAAGCAGCTGCCGGAGCACTTCCGGGTTGCAGTTTGTGCCGGACCATCAGGCGTACCGGACCACTGGATGCCGGAACACCGGAGTTTTACTGTAGCTTGTTTATTTGCAGGATCCTTGGGGTCTCTGGCAGAAAATTCAGATACAAAATTCCTTCAAGTAACTCAATTAGCCAGATTAGTAGTCAGATCACTTTGCAGAATGGAACCTACTCTAGTTTTGAGGACCCTGGCACATCTTCTCCTTGAGCCTTTGGCTTCACTGTTTTAAATTTATCTGTTGTTTCTTACCAGCTATTCAAACTGAGATATCAGAAGAGCCTTAAAAATCTATCTCAAGCATATAGAGTTCATGAGACCGTAAGACTCTCTATTCATGTTCTTCCACTCAAAATACCAGAGACATAGGGTATGTCTACACTACCCCGCTAGTTCAAACTAGCAGGGTAATGTAGGCATACCGCACTTGCAAATGAAGCCCGGGATTTGATTTTCCCAGGCTTCATTTGCATAAGCGGGGAGTCGCCATTTTTAAAACCCCGCTGGTTCGAACCCCGTGCAGTGTGGCTACACGGGGCTCGAACTAGGTAGTTCGGACTAGGATTCCTACTCCGAACTACCGGTACACCTCGTACCCTCAAAAAATAAGTGCCCTTACCTCAAAATAAGCTACACAATTTGTGTTTATGTAAATTGCATAGCTTATTTCAAGGTTATTTCAAAATAAATTTTCTGACAAGTCCCTTAACCTTCATGGAACGAAGGTTATATAGATGCCAGAATAACACACCTATTTTGAATTATATTTCGAAATAACGGGGGCATTTAAAGACTCAGAATTACTATTTTGGAATACTTCTGGCATCTCAAAATAGCTCCGCTGTCTAGATGTAGCCGAGCAAAAACTTCCTGTCAGGGTGGCTAAGCAATGAAATACATTGCCTGGGGAAGATGTGAAATCTGTATCATTGGAGATTTTTAAGAGCAAGATAGACAAACACCTGTCGGGGATGTTCAAGATGGTGCTTGATCCTGCCGTGGGTGCAGGGGACTGACTTGATGACATTTCAAGGTTTCTTCCAGTACTATGATTCTATGGAGCTGTATGAAATTATTTGAAGCTGTATGAACAACAGAGTTTTGCTGCAGCAAGTGAAAGTGTGAACACGGCTTTGTTGGCAAGAGCATTCTGCTGCCAACAAACAAAGCCCCCTCACTGGGGGGTGAAAGTATTCTGTCAATAAAAGTACTGACAAACAGCATTTATACATCCTGACTTCTAGCCACAGGGTTGTGTTGACACATCCCTGTCACTAAAAATTGTGTCATATAGACATACCCTCAGTCCTTACAGCATTCTTCTAATGTGTGAGAATTGAAAATTGTAATTGACTATAAACAAAAGTGATACTGACTAATCTATTTTTATTGTCCGCACTGGATAAAATGCCATAAATAACCAGAGTATAAAGAGTGACAAGTATAAATCATGTTGTTCACATTATATGTATTTTAGTAACCTAAATGATTATTTATATAGCAATTTGCATTTCTTAATATGTCAACAGTGACCCAGTAATCAGAACTAGCCATAAAATCAATGGAAGTGAACAGTTATATGGGGCCATATCGTCAGATGGTGTAACATGCCCTGGAGCATTATTGACTTTTGTGGAGTTATACTGATTGATACCACTTTTTTAGAGCTTAATTCGTGTCTTCTTTAACAATTAATTAGTAGTTTAGATTATATTCTTTTCCAATTAGATTCTCGTGGTTCCTATTTCACACTGCATGGCAACTGACTGTGGACTTGCATTATGCCAGAATATTTTTTTAGTGAATGGCTGTCTGTAAATGTAGTTTAATATTTCTTCATAGAATAAAATCAAATGTTGGTTGGAATTTGGAAATCTAAAATTTAAATTATTCATTCTGAGGGGAGGGATTGTATGTTATATCAGATCTCAAGATTATCTCTGAAACTGCAGTTTCCTATATAGATATTTTTTAAAAATCCTATGAATGGTGTTCTATCTCAAAACCTCATATATTTTGAAAATTGACACCTTTTTCTAACAGTTGGCACAAAATTTAAAAATGTGGCTTGTGGCTTTCTTAATAGTTACAAGTCTATATCTGCCATGTTAAGATTGTGGTTGGCAGTTACACTGTCATCACAATAGCATCAGAGATAAGTATGGCATGAGTGTTTTACTACAAACATTACACAGAATGTAACTGTGAAACCAGCAGTAAGCACATGGATCAGAAGAGACCCAGAGTTGCTGACGAAACAATATGTAAAGTTTTCACATTATGTCCTGCACTCTTTAACTTTGCCTTGCTCTATTAACATGATCGTCTCATATTTTTATCCTCAAATCTAATGAATGTCAGGCCATTAAATGTACATCATAGAAATTAAAATTGATCATTTATTTTGTTCATTACCATCAGTCATTAGAACACATATCTCTGTGGTCTAGAACACATAACTCTTTCTATGCCAGCAGGAGCACATACTTCTTACTTTCCTTGTTTGTTTTGCTCTGCTGTTGGTAAAAATTTGAAGCTTGCTTCACTTTGTCAACCTCTCTGCTGCTATAGTTGTGCATTAGCTTAATGTGTTGTTGTATTACAATGTAAAAAGTCTCTTGTCTCTTCTGTCTTTGTCACTGCAAGCTGCTAATCTGAATGAAGTGGAAAAAGGTCAGTTGTCCTTTAAGCCTATTTTCACTTATCTATCTTTTCTTTTCTTTTCTTTTCTTTTCTTTTCTTTTCTTTTCTTTTCTTTTCTTTGAAGGTGCATGGATTTCAGTGTATGCACGTGGTCAGAGAAATGATATTGTTGACATTTAGCAAGCTTACCCTGTATTCTCAGATCAGGCATTTAAATGTTTTTGCATACATATCAAATGAATGCTATTAAAGGTAAAAATACAGCTTTTTGCCCAGAAGACAGTGTTACAAGAACAGATTGTTAATACTGTATACATTGTCTTTTTCAAATATATTGAAACTTACCTTATGCATCCTCTCTGTTGACGGATGAAAATGGCTTTCTTTACAGAGAGGGTCTTCTAATAAAGCTTGCATCCAACAGCTGTAAAATACACTTTGGCTCATTTGTAATGCTTTCTACATTTTAAAATACCCAGCTAATTTTCTTATATGAATTGTCCTGCTAGTTATTAGGTTGAGATGTCCTCCTGTTTATCATTGTAATGACCAACTGTTGCAGCACATTCTGCATCTAAAAAATCAGTTATCTGAGGGTCTGTAACAAAGAAAGATAATGAAGATGGACACGTATGGCCTTAATTTGAATTAACCTTACTTTTGGGGATTCTGTCAAAACATTAATGCCACTAAAATAGAAAGTTTATTTAACGAAATAATGGAAAAGATTCTGATCCATCATTCTGAATTACACATTTAGATCATTTCCTAGCACTGGTATTTCATTATTACATCTATGCAGCTGAAGGATATGGTTGTTGTTTTTTTCCTCTCCATCATTTCCTGTCCTCTTTCCATTTTCTTTCCCCAAACAATCTGGCCCCATACAGAAAATCTTCCTTTAGAGAGATGAAAGGTGAACTGACTCTGTTTGTGCCATTCTTTGAATTGGTGGAATGGGCGATTAAAAAACAACATAAGATACTTCTGAAAGCTGAGTTAATGGCACTCATATTCTTATATTTTCATTGTTCTGTGACCACTTTGCCAGACTGGTGAACAATTATTTATTTTATTATGCTTATTGGTGTACATATTAGGAAAGCTAGTTACCATTCAAACACAATACCACTATTTACAAACAAATCTATCTTCTTTTTAATGGTGAACCAAAACCAGATTCCAATGACTATTGATTTTGCATATGTAATTTTTTTAAAAAAATTGCTTTGTAAGAGTGCAAAGTGTATTTTTGGTGCACTCAATGAATTCTTGAATTCTTGAAAACTATAGGGGCGCTCTGCTTATTATTTTGAAATAAGGGGTTTATTCAAGCTTGGATGGATAGTCCCCTTGTATAATTATGTTTCCTAGCTGAAATATCTGTTTATGGATGATTAAAAGAGAAAATATAATCAGAAAATATTGAATAGTTACTGAAAACTTTTAACATGGGTGATAGACATAATATATTGTAATTACTGAATCTAACAGTAACTAACACACTATCAAATTATTAAATAACTGAAGGGAGCTGAACTGGATTGGAAAGGCAAAAATTAAGAATGTGTATAGAAATGTGATGCATTGCTTATGGTACTTAGTTTATTAGTGGAACATGGAAGAGATTTAGCTGAATGTAAATTACTAGCAGAGGCCTTTGTCTTACTTGTTAATTCAGTAAGAAAAAGAGGAATGATATAAATGAAATATATCTCTTAGTTTAGTTACGTACTCCACCAACCAATTATATAACATGATTTACACATTTCCAAAAATGTAGTATTTACACAATCCTAGTGACTAATGAATAGAAACTTAAATACATCTAGTGCACTTTGGCATCAGTTAAACTCAGTACTTAAGCACATGCCTGACTGTAAGCACATAGTTATGCTAAATTTAAGTGAGAATTGTATTGGTTTAAAGTCATGGGCCTAGGTACCCTGCTAAACCAAGGTCTTGATGTTGTAACTTACGAGACTTTAAACAGAGATGCTTTTATTACTCATGCTGGGTTTCTACTAATAATGTATTCTGTTTAATGTACTAGTGTATTGGAAATGACTGTAAATTATTATTGGATCACTGTAATCATTCCACTAATTTTGATTCATTTCTACTCATGATTAAGGGCCCAGTCCAGAGAATGCATGTGATCTTTGTTAAAGTAATTAGATTCATAGACTTCAGTGGGTCTGTTCCGATGAATACTATCATCAGGAATAATTCATCATTTTCTGCGTAGTGATATATGTTTCTAAAATAATTAGTATGCGATTCTTGCATGCCAATACCAATTATTGCTTTAGTATTGAAACAGCTTAGTATGTAAGGTCTAAGTCTTGCACTGGGGATCCACTAGCATGAGATGTAAATTAATGGAATTCCACTGGTATGAAATTGGAATAATGCAGAGCTGAAGCTGAGCCAGAAATTATATTTTAAATAATTTTAATTGGATTTTCAGTGTTTTACATAGGGTTGCCGGATGGTTGAACCAAAAATACCAAACACCTCTCCCCCCCCCCCCCAAAAAAAAACACTGGGGAAAAAATTCTGTTGAGGAAAAAAAGAAAGGAGGGGGAGTCCAAAGTTGTTGAGCAAAAAAAAGGACTCAGAGACTTATTAAGCAAAAAATAATAAATAATAAAACAGCATGGTCCCTTTCAGAGTGAGTGCAGAGTTAGAATAGGGATAGGAACAGGGGAGCGGTTGAGCACTAAGACCCAGGGAAGGCTTTGCTTCCCCTTGTTCTTTAGGCTTTTTGCTGGTGGCCATTTTGTGTTTTATTCAAGCCAGAACTTAGCTTCCCCGCGGAACCTGGTAAACATGGGGGGTGGGAGGGCTGGAGGTGTTGGGGCCCGGAGGAGAGAGGGCAGCGAGGCCAGGGGGTAGAGTTGCTAGGTGTCTGGTATTTCTGCCTCCTGGCCAGGAATAAAAATCAGAAAATACCGTACACCTGGCAACCCTAGTTTTACAACTGGACTTTAAGACTCTGTGTTGTAACCTACTTCCTACTGCCACAGATTTTTTCCCCTTAATCTTTGTTAAAATAAGTTAAAATAGTACTTAGTGTATGTACAATTTGCCAAATTCTCCACTTTAATTCCATATAGTTTAACTAGAACTAACATCCCTAAAACAGTGCTTGCTGTTTAAATCGGAGATAGCTAATAACTGGGGAATACAATCAAACTATGAGGAGGAAAAACTGTAGCTTTCATAGAATGTAAAAATACTGCAGAAATAGACTCATATTTATACATACATATACATTACCCAGTAACTACTTTAACTACCATTAAACCTGCCCTGTTCACTTGGTATTTATGCTTTGGAACACAATATACTTTCTTATGGTGATAAAATTGATTACTGTTTCTTTTTATTTATATTTTGTCCCTGGTTTAGATTTGAATATTCTGTTTGCCTTTTCTGTAATGCTGATGGGTTTAAAGATATTTCTGTGATAGCTTCAGATAATTTTCTTAGTTGGTGCTTTGTCAAGTTATTACAGTTTAACTTCTCAAATCTGGGACTCTCTGGTCTGGTAACATCCATGGTCTGGAAGGGCCACTGATGTTACTAGACCAAAGAGCCATGGAGGCTGGGAGTAGGAGCCAGCTGGGAGAATGCAGGTGTTGGGGAGTCCCAGGTGAACCAGCAGCAGCTGGGCAGGGAAACCCCATCTTCAGCAGGGCCGGACAGTAGCCCGGGAATCCCCCGCCCTCGCAGAAGACCCTCCAATGACAGTAGGGCTGACTCTGGCATGGTAGCCCAGCTAGGGAAGCCCGGGGAATCCCCCAGCAGCAGCAGGCGGGCAGCAGGTGGGAGCCCTGGCTGTCCAGCATTATCAGAGCAGTGACAAGCCAGGAAGCCCCAAAGAGAGGATCTGGCAGAAAGGCAGCCAGCATGGGAGCCTTGACTTCCCCTGGTCTGGCAAATACTCTGGACCGGATCACTCAGGTCCAAAGTGTGCCACACCAGGGAAGTCCAACCTGTATTTCCTTTATCATTTCATTTTTTGTTAAAACATCTCCCAATTGCTTTGTAAATAACTTACACATACAATTTACATATCCAGTTACCCAAAATAACAATAATAATCTAAATCCTTTGGAATGTTATTGTTTTCTTTCTTTCTTTCTTTCTTTCTTTCTTTCTTTCTTTCTTTCTTTCTTTCTTTCTTTCTTTCTTTCTTTCTTTCTTTCTTTCTTTCTTTCTTTCTTATTGTTTTTAGCTTTAGAAAACCTGGATAATTGCTATTAAATAGTTTCATTCAAGTCATTAATTCAAGTTACAATCTGTCAAGGAAGAAAATTGATATATAAATCTGGCGACTTGATAAGCTCTTCTCACTAGATAACCAAGGTGCACTTATCAACCATGTTTATATGTTGTTTGACTAGCCATGTATATAACATCTATTGTATATAAGAATATCATCTTTGATGAACTTATAGGCCTTGCTTTTGGAATAGCATCTAGGTTCTAGTAGCTCAGACTGTAGGGCCTACATATGAGAATGGAATTCCATTTGAGGATTGAGGTTGAGTAAAATAATTAAGCAACTTATCTGATACAAAAAACGATTTTGTCTGATCCTAATTAAACTGTGGAATTATTTTATTGAATTATTTTGATATATTCCCCACAACTGATTGTTTACATTATTTTGTTATTGCTCAGTTTTCTAAATGACTTAGAACATAGCAATTTTCTTGTCTTTAAGAATCGGATCACTTGACAAGAAATGTATGAAAGCCACAGCTATTATTTTACTAAATTGGTGAATGAGTGGATGACTGTACACATGTAATATTGATGTGAAACTTTGTTGAACATAAAGATGCACAGTGGTATCACAACCATTTTTCTTAACTGAAGTATTTGTTTTAAAAAAGTGGATCTACAATTTCTGATTGAGGTTGCTTTGCAACATTTTCCATATCCATGAAGACAAAAAGCACAATCTGTCATCTCTGTAGCTTTTTCATTTTTGTCACTATCTCTGTGGGTTTTGTAAA